TATATATATATATATATAATTAATTTTAATTTTAAATTGTTTTTGCATTATATGGCCGTTTGCTGTTTTATGGGTTTTTCCCATTTGCCTTTCAAACTTTAAATATCATTGACAGTGGTGAACGGAGCGTGGGAATGTGCTATAACGCTACTGAGAAATTTCTTGATTTCAACGTTTCCTTCCACCGTATAACACCTAACAACCTACCGATAACACCTTCGTCTTTCGTTGTGTACTGTTCTGTTTGTCACAGATATTTTTTTTTAACAGAATTGTGTTTCAGCAGAGAATTTTCTAGGCCTTCGCCTTTGGCTTCTCACGTTGCATTCCTTCCTTTATTCAATGCTTTTGCTCACCTTTTTCCTGTCATTAACTTACGTAAGTGTACCATTAAACAATAACATCGACATGCCTGTGCCGTTAGCGGCTGTCCAAGCAACTGCCTGTAGCATTGCACTGTTTGTACGTTTTGTTGTGCCATATCTTAGTAAGGGTACCTGGAATTCCTATAATAGTCAACTTGCCGTGCCACTTCACCATGCTCTCTCTTCAGATGAAATTTTACCACAAGAAGTTGGTCTTTCTTTTATTACAATTTTGGATTCGTGATCACCCTGAATTTGTAAAGGAAGAAAGACCTAAGACTAATTGTTATCATAGAGATCCGAGAACCCTTGTAGAAGCACGGAAAATAAAAAATAAACTGCAAAGACAAGCCTTTTCGCAAGAATGCATCTGCTAAGGCTAAAGCAGATTTCTTTTCTGCATTGAGAGCTTATGACTTCCTGAAAAAGAACAATGATAAAGAAAAGCTTAAGAGATCAACAACACACAAAGAAAAAATCTTTAAAAATAATTTCTGGAGCTTTAGCAAACGTCTACTAAACGACACATTATATGCGCCAACAAAGCATCCATCTTTCAACAAAGCTATAGCTGATTTATATTTCAGCAATAGATATTCTTCCCCAACGCATATCAACTATGAAGACCTTAATTGGTTCCCACCTCTATGGAAACATTCTGATAATGTGTTACCTTTTAATACGGATCCAATTAAACCACGAGATATCAAGAACATTTTAAAAAACAAAAACTCAAACAGTGCTCCTGGTCCAGATAACATTCCTTATGGTGTGATCAAGAACTTACCATCTACGCACCATTTTCTGGCCACACTTTTCAACAAAATTCTTGCTACAGGCATCCCAGTTTCCTCATGGATGGATTCTAACATCATCCTTATCCACAAAAAGGATTCGAGCGATGATCCCAAGAATTTTCATATGATCGCACTGCCATCAACAACTGGTAAAATACTTCATCTTATTATCACCCATCGTCTTGAAGAATTCATGGCTTCAAACTGCATCATCAATACAAATGTTCAGAAAGCCTTCATGAGAGGGACCAATGGTTGTATTGATTGAATCTGGTTATACGGTCGAACTCATTGCTTTTGAAGTCGGATCTCGTGGGTTCATCTCTGCCGATAATATATCTCGCCTAAAGAGACTCCATAAACACCTCAATAAACCAGTTTCATTCAAAACCTTCCAAAACAATATTTCTAAACTTTCTATTGTCTCCTCCTTCAGCATTTTTTTACGCCAGAGATGAACCCACATGGATCGTCCCTCCCTATCTTAACTTGTGATTTTTCTCTGCTGATTCTTGTGTTTGTCCTCCTGTCTCTTGTTCTCGTCCTGTAACCTGTCTATGTTTTGTCTTTATTTCCCTTGCTTGCCCTATTTTAAAGGCAAGATCTAGGGTTTCTGTTTTGCTCCTTTCTTTGCCATTTTTGTGTTATAGGCCTATATACTTTATTATTGAGGCTATTTTTATACTGATTTAATTTAATGTTTTGGCAAATAAAGTGATTTTACTAATTAAAGAATCTCAATTGAGATCCAGCGCCGCGATTGTTGCACAGTAGAGATTGCACTTTAGATCTCCGATCTTGTTCACAAATTCACGGACTAGTGCTGTCTCGTAAGAATTTCGTAGGACGTGTTAAGAATGACAAAATATTGGAACTGAGCCGCATAGATTGTATTCCACTATTTGCATTCACACCTGGGCTGTGTGTATATATATATTGCCTTGGTTTGGCTCTGTAATCATTAGTGGTCGTGGGACTTGTTTGGGCCCTACCTAAGCTGGTCGAACGTTTCGTTTGGGTCTGTACCCAAGCTGCACTGATGAGGCCTGGAAGGCCGAAACGGACCGTCTACAGATATTGGGATTCCTTCCAGTGGATGCTTAGTTTATTTTGTCATTCTGATCAGATTTTCTCTACCGTTCCGTTTTAATTTTAATTTTAAATTGTTTTGCATTATATGGCCGTTTGCTGTTTTAGAGTGGGGTTAGAAATAATACCTTAAGGCAAAAATACTGCCGCCAAGGGGAAATTTTAGCGACGTTAAGGCATTGAGTTCTATACGTCGCTGATCTTGGCAATCATATTTTGTATATATATATATGATATAAATCAAGATAGCCATTAACACTGTTAAATTATATATAATTCATCAAAGGACATAATAATATATATAATTTAACAGTGTTAACGGCTATCTTGTTTTATATTATATGCAACTATTTGTTTCTAGCCGTATCTATTGTGTAATGGAGTGTATCTGGTGGTATTTGAATCTGTTCAACCATGAAGCCTCCGTGGTCTAATGGTTATGAGGCTCGCAGGTTCGAGTCCCGCCAGAGGCATTTTATTACACAATTTTTTTATTCATTTATTTACAGGACTACATTCGTTGAGGGCTATGCTACACGATGAATTATTATGTCCTTTATTTAATGATCCTTAGGTGTTATAGTACCACTGTGGGAAGTTTCATGCTTTCTGCCAAAAGTGCATTATCATTCTCCTTAGCTGCTCTACTAAAGCGACTCAAAGAAATATTATAAATTAAGTTCTCAATAGAAAGAACTCCTTCTGAATTAGTTTGCACAATGGATAGTACTGTTAAAATAAACTTAACATATAATATGTGCAATACTTGAATGATGGTATCATTATGGGTTTCACACCGAATGGTTCTAATGCAAAATGTATGCAGCCATAAGATGGCATCATTGTGGGTTTCACAGCAAATGGTTCTAATGCAAATGTATGCAGCCATAAGATGGTATCATTGTGGGTTTCACAGCAAATGGTTCTAATGCAAAGGTATGCAGCCATAAGATGGTATCATTGTGGATTTACCACCAACTGCTTCTAATGAAAAATTTATGCAGCCATAAGATGGTATCCTCGTGGATTTAACACCAACTGGTTCTAATGCAAAATGTATGCAGCCATAAGATGACATTATTGTAGATTTATAAAAGTTTATAATTTTTTTTAACGCAAGATGTATGTATCTATGAGATGGCATCATTTTGGATTCAACACTAAAAATAACCTATGCAATTACTTTATATGCTAGTACTGTACTGTTAATACTTACTGTATGTTCACTATCGGATTATAAAACATTCTTGATATAGTACCTTTGTAGATTCAACTCCAGATAGTTCAGGTGCTAGATGTAAGCATTTGACACCTTTGTATAAATTATGTTATTAGAAAAAAGCCGTAAATAAATAGATGGTCATCACAAAGATGTTGCTTTTCAAGTTAGCTGGAAACTCATTATATTGACTTTTGTATTTAGAAAGGTAATAATCAGTGGTGGATCAAGAGATGAAAGGTCTTGAAGTGGGGGGACTCAATGATCAGTTAAGGGGGGGGGGGGCTAACTAGCAAAACAGGGTGGTTTTATGTGCTTTTTAACAACTTGACCATGATTTTTTGGGGCGGCTGAAATAGAAACATTTCATTACTTAAACAAAAAATAAATAGACATACTGATTAATTTTTAGTAACGCGTCTGTGAATTAAGTAATCGCAAGTTTCTACATTTTCCCCTGAATTTGTGATAATTCGTTACAACGCATAGACCTCTGCTGATCGCGTGACAAATTTATGATCATGCATGTATTTCTTCAAAATGCACGTTTCTCTCAAAATCCCTTTGAAATGCAGGACCATCCTACACGATGCGAGATGGTTGGTAACTATGAAATACTCACTTGTAAATAGTAATAATTACCTGGTCTGTTTCATGTACAGCCTTCATCTCCTCTTAAAATACTCACTAGTAAATGGTAATAATTATTCGGTCAGTTTCATTCAGCTTCTCTCCTTTTATATATCGACTCTTGAAAAATGCAAACTGTGAAAGATAATAAGTACCTGGTCTGTTTCATGTACAGCCTTCATGTTGTTGAGTTTTCGTTTTTCTTCCTCTAACATTTCTCTGTACATCTCTCTGGCTGTTTCTTTGTCTTGCTCTTCACTAAATCACATAAACAATATTTTTAATTGTATATTTTACATTCTTTTATGAAACTACAAGCAAAGTTAATATGAAAATTATATTTTGTAAAACCGAACTCAGAAAAAAGCATAAATAATAGAAAATTATTAAAATAATAAATGAGAGCATCAATGATGCAATAGCCTACTTGAAAATGACATCAAATTTGGGGAAAAATCATTCACCGCTCAGTTAACCTTTGGAACAATCTTCCCTCAGATACATGCAATTCATTAAATTCTTTTTAAGTTTTCATTCTTTCAAAAGTTTGATTTCATTTAAAACTGTTTCCTTTTGCTTTTTTTTTAATAATAATTAGTTTAAGTATTATTTCATATTTTATTTTATTTTTGACTGTTAACTAGACCTTAAGGAAGAACAATATAAACTGATTATTAGTATTAAAGAAAGATTTCTATCTATCTGTAACGTTTGAGTGTTGTCGGTTGGAGCTGGTGTGGTCATGGAGAGTCTTGTTAGTTACATGTATTGAACATTTCACACTTGCAGTCACAAAAGAGAAAAGAAAATAAAGTCATAGTATAGTTGAACAAAAACTTCTTTTCACGTGGCCAGCCATTTATGCCATTTGCTTATTTCCGGAAGAAAAAAGGTAGATATCATCCGATATTCCTGGAATAAAAGGATTATATTTCGATAGAATGCATTATTAACAAGTATTTACTGATCGTCATCAATATATATTCAATTGAAAATGAATGGCTCTCATTAACTGTGATAAGAGTTTGATTTGACCCCACCACATTTCTTTTTTTATTCCAGATGGGTGTTTGTCTTTTAATAACATTTATAGATCACGTTTTATACAGTATTTAATGAATTTGTAAAGACTTAACAAACATTCTTCCTTTTGAAAACATCTATTGAGTAAGTATATAAAAAAAGTTGATGAGGTACCATCTAAATTCCATAATATACTTAGTAGCGACTTTCTGTGGTGGCGCTTTTTGTTTGAATTTCATCTTCCGAAAAATGACCATGGAGTAACTTTGGTATTTATTCATGTTTTGATACACTTTAGGTGAATAAGAAAAAAGAGATATTTCCATGGTAAGCAAGCATAATTGTTTTCTCCAAAACGAAGCAAGTTTTAACAATGTAGAAAATGACCCAAAACTAAACCTCAAACTAAAAGCTCAAAAGTTTTATGAAATTTGTAAAATGTTGTTAATGACATCTTTGTATTGAGGTAGAAAAATTAGATTTTTGGAGAAACCACTATCATAATTTTTTTGTAGCCAAAAGCTAACAAACATGTTGAAGCATATTAATTATTATGTGAAGAGCTTTAACTTTTATGGTGCTAATAGTTTAAGAGCAACCACATTATATATATGATTGTGTATAAAGTTTTTGCCAAAATTAACATGAAAATCGTATCACTTTTACCCAGTGTTTCTTGATACAAAATGTTGAAATTTTAATTTTCTATGATACTTTTCTATTATCTTGTAAACAAATTTCATATTGTGATTCTGTAATAAGCAAAATATAAGTGACATATCTATAGGGTGTGGTGGGTTTAAATAAAAGTTCCCAGTGACTTTTGTCATTCCACTTGGCATTATGGAATAGCCCAAGAGGATGGTAGGTTTAAGAAAAGTTCCCAGTGATTTTTGTCACTCCAATTGGCATTATGAAATAGCCAAAAAGCTGTGGTAGGTTTAAACATGGAGGTAATGTTTAAAAAGTAAAAGCTGTAAGGGATTTTTGTCACTCCAATTGGCATTATGGAATAGGCCAAAAGGTGTAGCGGGTTTAAGTCAAAGTATCAAGTGATTTTTTTTCCCCTTAAGATCTTTGTCACTCCAATTGGCATTATGGTCTATTGCAATAACATTTAAAATTTGCAATTAAAAGACCAGCTGATTAAAATTTTTGACTACTGGTTATATGTTTTGATACCTGACCTATGTTGTGTTATTCTCATATTTTCATTTCTCAAACATATTGTTTACCACAAATATTACAATATATAAGATAATGGAGAAGATGAATTTCCTTATTTCTATAATTTATGAGAAAGACAATAAAAGTTACCCATCTACCGACAGTTAACTTCAATATAGATGAAATTCCTTATTTCTCTAATTTATGAGAGGGACAATAAAAGTTATCTATCTACCTTCAACAACTTCAATATAGAGTTTAATTTAATAAATGGACAGTAATTTAGTCATTGTGGAAGTAAAGGAAATAATTAATAAACAGATATCTCAACCCAATCGTAACACTATCCATTAGAATTATTAATCAAAGTACCAAATAAGTTTTAGAGTGTAATTATATTGTTGTTTGTTGTTTATATTAATCTTGCACTCTGTTTTGCAATGTCTTATTAAATATTTTTGTTATTTTTTTTTTTATTAATGTAATTCAATTCTTAATATGTAAATATTTCATTCATCAATTTAATTATACAGTATATTTTTAAGTCAATGCATTTTTAACAACTTGCTCTCAATTCTTGCTGCAAATGCATAATTTTATGTATGACTTTTTAATGTGAATAAATAAACCAGAATATAAATTCTGGTTTGTTAATATTCCAGAATATATAATTCTTTCACATATTTTACCCCATGATAATGATAATAGTAAGTAATTGTAGATTGTAAAGTGAACAATGCTCTGTTGATTATCCCAATTTTATGAGAATCTGGTGCTATTCTTTTCAAATTTTTACTTCTGACAATTATATTTGTACATTGTAAGTTTATTATACACCAAATGGACTTCCAACATGTTATGATGGACCAATAAAATTTCTTATCTTATGTTATGTGAATAGGAAGCGTGTGTTAAAACTTACATAGACTTTAACCGTTGGACATATTCATGTTCTTCTGCATAGGTTTCTATGGCCGCCTCTGATGCTAACTGCTTTGCAGTCTTGATGTCTTTGCGTACAGTCCGTCTCCTATCAATATTACCTGAATAATGCCCTTGAACTATTGAAATAAAATATACACTAATAATTAAACAAGTGAAATTATTATTATTATTATTATTATTATTATTATTACTGTTTGACCTTGGGTCATTCCATACCAACTCAACTAATTTCCAGAAAGTTTCCACAGTGTTCATCTTGGATTTTGCTGAAAATTTAATCAAGTACACTTTGAGGGGTATTAAGTCCCAAAGATTCATTGAAAAATTCCCAAGCGTTCCGAAGTTACGGTACTTTTTAGACTCGCGAAGAGCAGTGATATCTTGTTAGTGTTTTTGAAAAGAAATTTCATTTTTGGACATACTAGAAAGCTGAAAATTGCTACTCTGGCTCAGTTTTGCCCATACTCTCTTATTCTGGCATCAGAATCAAGCTCTGAATCAGCCTCACCATTGCTTTATTCCATTGCAAATTTCTGCTGATATCAAGGGCTGAACAGTCTAGTGATGGTGAGATAGTCGCTGATGGTGAGATAACTGAGGATGGGCTACAGCCTAGGAAATATGTTGCCTATCTTTGGGGAGGGGGGAAAATTGCCTATCCAAATAATGTTTTTTTGATCTGCAATTCCTAATATTTTATTGACTTATTTAATCTTTCTTTATACTGTAGGCAGTTTCAGTACTATAGTACAGTGACGAGAAAAATATACAGAAGAAATAAAACAAAGAATCAAATAAAATAAAATTTTAAAATATTATTTTTAATGATTTTGGAATGAAAAAGTTGACATCTCTTCAAAATTAATTTTTAATTTGTGTGGTAGTTCATTCCAGCTATTGGATGATCAATATAAAAAAGTTCTTTTCCCTGTCCAATATTATACATTGGAAGAACCAGGTTGTTATGGGTTTGGCTATGTGTGCCTTTATAATATTGTGGTCTGAAAGCACATTTTGGGCCTTACTTCTGTAGTAGATTGATCTTGCCACTGAAAGCAAATCGCAAAGCTGCAGTGGAGTTGAATAGCTTGGTGGTTAAGATGCTTGCCTTCCAATCCCAGGGTCCTGGGCCTTACTAAGCCATAAAAAATTCTCCCTGTGAACCATACCAGGACCATAATCAAGACTATAGTCAGCCCCTTTGTGTGGAGCCATCCCAGATGTCAGGTTCCTTTTCAAACATGTCATTTACTGTACATATTGATGCACCAGAAATGCAGGGACAAGTGCATTTTTTACAGAATATCTCCACCAGACACTAAAGAAATTACCAAATTATTTACTTGCATGTAAAGTTAAAGGTTGTCATATGTATATTTAATACTAATAGTAATACTATGATAACGATTTACTATTGCTATTAACATATTTAATGTTGGCTTATCTTATTTAGCGTATATTTTATTCATTTCTTTTATGTTTCTGGCTTAAAAGTTTATTGTATTTGCTTGTAAGCTCACTGGGTTGCCCTCTTGGATTTATATCAGTCTGTTTTTACACCAAAATAAATAAATAAATAAATACATAAAATATATAAATAAATATGTCAAATAAAGTTTACCGAGTTTAAGATTGAATCTGCGTTAGTGATTAGAATCGTGAGGTTTTATAATCAGGGAACAGTGAAATTTAACCCTGGAAATAATTCATAGTGATTTTTTTTTAATTATTATTATTTATTAGAATTTTGCAATGCTTAAATAACTAGATCTTTCTCAATTTTTTATGAACATTTTGAACTCTGATAGTAATCAATTTTATTCAAAGTTCTGTCTCCAATGATCACACAAGCATTTCTTGTCAAATTAAACTGTAGTTTAGGATATACATGGGGGTTGGGGGTTGAAACCGGAAGTTGCCAACATAGAAAATACACCATTTTTGCATTGGGAGTTTATATTAAAAGGGTTGAGTTGAGATAAAAATAATTCTACCATATATGGCCAAAAAACATATCTTTCAGTTGTGTAAGTTGAATTTCCATTGTTAACTCTCTACGTAGATATTTGACCCCTCAAGTTTAGGGTACGGGAGTCAATTATTGAGCTGCGGCCATTTTTGAATTGTCTTAAATCTGTGATAGTTATATCCCAAATAACTAATCGCCATTAAAACATTTGGTCTCAGCCAGAAGTTGACCATACAACCTAAGGTAAAAATCATAAAATAATTAATTTTACCCAAATAAAACTGATTTTGAGATGCTCATAACTTCTTAATGCCTATTCAGAGCTTGATTCTAATGCCAGAATCAGAAAGTATGGTCAATACTGAACCAGAGTAGCAATTTTCAGCTTTCTAGTTGTCCAGAAATGAAAATATTGCCTTTCAAGTTTCAAGGGTGTGTCTTCAAAATTTAAAATTTCCGTTTGTTGTTTTGTTTTTAATGGTTTCTCCACACACAACATAAATAGTACAATGTATTCAAACTTAACTAACATTACAAAAGTAGATAAGAAAAAAAAATGTATATATATATACATATACATACAATACACACATACATATACATACATATATATATATACATATACACATACATATACACATACATATACATACATATATACTGTAAATTAGATATTAACTAAATAAATGTGCGGATGGAGGCCAAAATAAGTTTATACAAACTTTAGGTTATGGCCACCAGTTAAAATTGAATAAATAAAATTGAACTTTTAATGACAAACTAATGATTATATATTTTTAATCACCAAAACTTTGGAATGCTTGGGAATTTTTCAATGAAACTTTAGGATTTTTCATAATACCCCAAAAGTATATTTGTTTAAAATTTCAGCAAAATCCAAGACGGTTGGCCCTGGTTGAGTTGGTATGGAATGACTCCATTCATGTTCTTCTGCATAGGCTTCTATTGCTGCCTCTAATGCTAACTGCTTTGCAGTCTTTATGTCTATGCGTACAGCCCGTCTCCTATCAACATTACCTGAATAATACCCCTGAACTATTAAAATAAAATATCAACTAATAATTGAAGAAGTGAAGTTACTCATTTGGAATTTAAGTATTATTGTGGAAATCAATAAATATGGAAACACTATTTATGGCTGCCAAAATCAGATTTGCCTACAGTATAATAGATAATAATTTGAAAAAACCGAAAGGTCCACTGATTATTCTCGGATAAGATAGTATAATAAATACTCCAAGAATAGAAATGCACGCCATCGTGTCGGGATTCAACATTTCAACATCATGTCACTATCAGGAATTAGTATGTATTACTATCACAATAATTTGATGTTATTTTTTTTCCTCTCAAAAAAGCATGATTGTATTGAGAGCGTGTACAAAAGTCCTTGTAGCTAAAAGGCTCCTAATTATCCATAAACATGAAAGAAAAAATGAATATAAAATACAAAATTAATAAAACTTCAATAAAAAGGTGAATGATTTGTATTCATAATTAATTTTGTTATTAGCACTTGCAAATGGAAGATTAAATTCCTTTTGTATTTACGAGAAAAACAATAAAAGTTACCACCTACAGTTATAGGGGAAGTGCGGGGATTAGACAAGTGGCCATATATTGCTTATTTAACCTTTCCTGAGTTTGGGAAAAATACTCAAAAAATTCAAAATGTTGAGATGTAACAATAATTATAGAAACAAAACATGATATGATGAGACAGGAAAAAAAGGTGAAAACAAGGCTGATCACTTTTTTCAGTAGCTTGGTAGCATTTTCTAACCAACTCATTATTATTCATGAGCAGTCTGTCAATTTTGGCGAGCAGCTGATTGAAGAATCATCATCCCGAGGATGATTGAGCAACTAGCCTAGACAATAGTAGTGTGAAGTCGTGAGTTTTTGTGATCGTTTACGTACACAGTAATAGAGAGAGCGTTAATTCTATTGAATTAATAAACGTATATCAGTCCGATGACTTGTTTGTTTATAATTAGGCCTATGCTTAGGATTAACACAGTCAGTGTCTACCCAGCAGCAGTAGTGCACTCAGTCCGGGACACTGCTCCAGTCCCGCAGGTGAGTTCGCACGCAGCCTTATCCAGCTGACGGTAACGTTAGTAGGTTTCTACTACTATCCTAGCCTAGACTTGTCATGCCATGGCTTGTTATGCCATGACTTGTTTGTTTATAATTAGGCCTAAGCCTAGGATTAACACAGTCAGTGTCTACCCAGCAGCAGTAGTGCACTCAGTCCGGGACACTGCTCCAGTCCCGCAGGTGAGTTCGCACGCAGCCTTATCCAGCTGACGGTAACGTTAGTAGGTTTCTACTATTATCCTAGCCTAGACTTGTCATGCCATGGCGACTTCGTCACATTTTCCCAGTGAATTTTTTTTTCATATATAGACCTAGGCCCCTAGGCTTACTAATATTATACTATATAGGCCTCATCTTATGAAAAACTGTCTAGGCTAGGCCTAAATGTCTAAAAACTGCACTGTAAAAGGTGATGTGCTATAACACTACAGTATATCATCATGAAACAAATATATTGGCAGTTTTATTAAGAAACAACAATAATACATTACACACTAGGAGACAGGAAGGCTTCAATCAAGTAATTAAAAAAACAAGTTTTGTTTAACTGAAAATATTGTCAATTGATGAATGTCTTTTCAGATTAGTACATACAGTATCTCAGTATGGTATGTGATTGATAAAGCAGCAAATGCCAATGTTTGATAAAATTTTTGATTTTTAAAAATGCATTATTGTAACTACTGTATATTTATTCCTCAATAGGAGCAAATGACAGGCTCGAATGGATTTGATGCTAACAGTTTCATCTGTGTGGACATGTCTAAGCCATGGTTAGCAGAAGGTGGCGATGCTCAGAGCTCTGCAGCAATTGGTTGAGGCCAAAATATTTCAAAAGAATTGAATTAAAATGATTTATCTAGTGATTTTTTCTCTGAAGATATACTGAAATGCCACACACTTTTTTTTACGCATCTGGTTTATATTGCATGCCAAATTTATAATAAATAAATAAATACTGTACAGTATCAGTTATTACTGTACCTGTTTTACTTGCAAAATATCTTTAATATTAGTAAATGGTAT